AAAAAAAAAAAAAAAAAAAAAAAAAAAAAAAAAACCAAACCAGGCTCTCATATCTCTGAAAGAAATTCTTCCTACCGTGGTCTACAAATTTGGCTAGCTCATCATATGTACCAAATTATTAGTTCCAAAAAATAGAAACTATATTAGAACTTCAATTTGATTTATTAGCCATTTAATTTCTTCCACAATTACTATTCCCAGAACACTAGAGGTATCTTAAATAACGTCTATCTCGAGCCCTAGTTAAGTAGATAGGACATGTAAAAAACTCTAACGTTAACTATTAAATTATTATCAAACGAGTCTTAACAAAGATAGTCATGTTCGAAACGACAAAGATAACTTAAGTAAACAAGAAAATGACTTATTAATTCAAGTAGTACATAGAAACAACATAAAATGGCTTGAGAAGACACAGCTGATCGATGAATATGAACAGAAATGGGAAAAAAAAAAACATTTAATTTCCAACATTAAACAATACCTTAAATTTCTGTCTGAAATTTCAAATCTTCAAGCTCTTCTCCTTCGCTTGATTTCAATTCTTGCTTCATTCTCCATAGAAGATCAGTACACCATCAACTTCATCCAGCTCCGACAATTTCAAACCTGCAAATTACATTTCCACTCGAGGAATTTAAGGATCTTTGCTTAAAAATAAAGTAATTAAGACCATAACTTATATTCAACAAAAGTACATAGAAATTCTATGGTTTACAGTTCAGTCAAAATTAAATATGATATAAAATAGTAAACTTGATCTTATAATGCTCAATTAGGGTTTATCTTGAGAAAAATTAGAAAGAATGGGGTTATTTTGAATTTTAAACAATTTAGCTTGTAACCCAAGCCTGTTAGCAGATATTGTCCTCTTAGATTTTCTCTTTCGGGCTTTCTCTCAAAGCTTTAAAATACTTTTGATTGAGAAAAGTTTCTACACTCTTTTAAAAAAAATGTTTGAGTTGGGATCGGAACAAAACCCTAATTTTGGAAATTACCTGCAGGCGATGCTCTCATGGTGTCCAAGGACAGGGTGCCCATATCCATGGAAGAACCAGAACCAGGAAGAAGATGAATCTCCCCAGAGCATGATTCCTTTGAAACCCTTTTATCATAACAATGATTACTAATCAAAGAAGCTGAGTTTTTGGCTTTGGACCCCAAATTTTGTGGGAAATTAGCAACACTCTTGCTTTTGGTGCTACTTTCTTCAATAACATCCTCCATCTTACAAACCCCAACTGGGTTTACTTCAAAATTTGATTTTGATATCTCGAAACGACCTCGAATCAACTTCGCTCTTGTTCTCTCTCTCGCTCTAGCTCGTGCTTTGAATCTCGATTCTTTATCAACGATCCTTAATTTCCTTCTCTTTTTCCCTCTAGGTACTTCCTGATCACGATACAACGAAACATTTCTTACGAGAGTAGACCCAGAAGAATGGACTTTTAATAAGAATTTCTCCTTGAGCTCCTTAATTGCACTTCTTGATTTGGTAAACAGCCATTCCACTGTCTTGCTTGCTTTATCAAACCCAAGCATGTCTTGAAGATCAAAGAAACGTCTAGCAATTTCAAGTGAAAGCCTCATTCTTCTATCTCTTGGCCCTTTTGAGGTGCAGATCTTGCTATGCCTGTCCTTCGCCCCACTTGATCTCTTCCTAGAAATGGGGTTGTCTTGGGATGAAGCTTTGTGGGCGGTTGTGGTATCATTATTAGTGTTGTTGGCACTTCCAAGCCCAATTTCAGGGTACAAAATGTGACCAAAAATGAAGTCTTGATCATCAAGAAAAGGGTTGAAATTATAGCAATCTATGGTTTGTTGGAATCTTTCATCATGGATTTGGATGGAATTGTCAATTGAAGAAGCTAGCATATTCTAAATCTGGATATTCAAATTAGAATATACCCAAAATGATGAAGAACATGATGAACAGGTTGACGAAGAATGTGTAATAAATTTGCATAAGAAATGTGGATTGTGATGTTTATAAAGTGGGTATTGAAATGTTGATGATGGGTAAGGAGAGAATGATATTAAATGGGATAGATATTTGATATCAAAAGGCAGAAGAAATGGAGACATCTCACGTGCTTCAGGATAGAACTGAAAGCAACTTATCCAATTGATTTGAGAAAAAGGCTGTGACACTGGGAGGACTCACTGCACACACACAAACAAATTGGAGCTTCTAAAATAAAACATTCGAGTCGATATGAATTTGAAATTCGAAATCGATACTTGATAGCTATGACACGCTCCAACAACGTGACAACGTTACTGTTTGACTATCCTCATAGACAAACCCTAATTTTCTCAGCATTTTTTTTTTTTTTTTTTGTTCTTACTCACGTGGTACTTCCAACTAAGTGTCACGGTTATACTTGTTCAAGGCGTGTTGTCTATGGTCGCATGTCGGATGTCCCGATCATGCTTGTCCAAGACGTATTGTCTATGGCTAATGTCATTCCAAACCCGTTTTACATGCTTTCATCTTAGTTAGGTTTTTATTATTTCATGTTACGTTAATACGAAAGTATATGACCGTTCACCAAAATCATGCTTACACCCACCAGGCTAGAATGCCTCAAAATGTAGTACAGAAGATATGATTAGTTGTCATTTCTTTCTACCTGAGTTACATAATCACTTTTTAGCTTATAATATTAGTTGTCATTTCGTTCAAATTATTTTCAACGTATTTCTTCGCTTACGTTTTCTAAAATATTTCTCTTAAACGTGATTCGAGGCTCAAGCATACATCGATATTGTTCGTGAAGTCTGAATTTCTCATAATTAACCTGTTCGTTGAGTTAGAACAAAGTACCGCACAATAAAGACGTAACTAATAGAGCGATAGAGGGGTGAAAAGGGGAATTCAAATGATGAATGGAAGACTGCCAAAATTACGTACATTTGAGTCCACTTTAACCTCTCCATGTAAAACGTGAAGAGTATATTATTTTTCTGAGCAGGAGACTGAATGTCGCGTCAAGATTCTTTGACCGCTCCACTTTCAATTTTAAACCATGAAGATCCTCCAACCTCCCAAATAAGACAAGACAGTTTTAAAATGTATAAGTGGTTAACATTAATTTGTTTTTCTCTCTAATTGACGTGAAATCTTATCTTTAATGTTTCAATTTTATGAAATTGTGAATCGAAATGTATCGATAAAGTGTCGATATTGTTGAATATTCCTTGTTGATATTTTTGTTATATTTCATCCGTTTATCTGTGATATAATGGAATTGTCAATTTCTTCTCTCATTTGAAATGATTTTTTAATACGTATATCTCAACGAAAATATTAGAAGTTTGAATCTCAACCCAATACATTGAAAAATATAACGATCCTCGTTAAATTAGATTGTAATGACTCTAATTTTCTACTAACCTAAAGTTACTACTATATCCATAACATAATTTATTTATGCAAAATCATCTATTTAAAACGACTTTATAAAATGATATTATGAACTTATACACCATCTTAAACACAATACAAATGAAATATTCAAAGTAAATTAAAATAAAATTAAGAAAAATATTAAAAAATAAATGCAAATTTAAAATGTAACTAAATGTAATATTTCCACCGTTTACACTGCTTTTCAATTATTTAATTCCAAGGAAAGGCTTCAACTTTTTTAAATAAAGTCATGGTGGCCCAAAACTTAAATGGGCTTCATGGCGGCCCAAAACTTGGGATGGTGGAAAACAGTGAAAAATTAAATTATGTATATTGTTGGATAATTTATATTGATACACTTGTCGGTTGTTCTACAAACTAGAGGGACACGTCACAGGTAGAGGACAACACGTAGTTAATCCACCGAGGATTTGACGGAGTTGATTCGACGTGTCATTATATTTTGTTGTTTGAGGAGGAGCGACATGTCGTGCGGACATTGGCTCGGAAAGGAAACGGGGGTTGATTCCTACGGATACTTCTTTACTTGAAGCAACCATGACGTCATCTGAAGGCTCGGGCTGACACGTCGTCTGCAAATTTGTTACATGATGTTACGACAAGTCGTCTGCTCATTTCATTTTTTCACTTTGACCTTGACCATTTTATTTGCTATGACCAAAGTGTATGTCTTAGTGGATAATTTCTCGGTGCTTTTTCAATTTTTTTTGGTAATTTAATCATTTATAAGTTAACATTTTACACTGCACCTCATAAAATATTAGGGTTAGGTAATGATAAATTTGCACAACATGATTATACTAAGTTAAAAGTGGACATCCACTCTAAGTTTAGGTCGATCAAGATCTAATCATAACATACTTAGAACTAGAAAAATTATAGGTCAAGTAATTACCTATAAATACATTATTTTAACTTAAAGGTCTATAGTATATGGATAAGATTGAAGGTCTTATTCGGATAACACTATTGATATGACCCACTTCAAATCGTTTATATGGAGATATGTAAGTGGGATATAAATCGGCTAAATATATATGAAATATCTCGTAACATTAAAATATAATTTGAATATTTCAAGGAGTCTTGTAAGCTACTGTCTCTCCTTTTTGTAGAGTTTTTGCTCTTATATGTATTGTTTTCTTTTAATATGGCTTTCGATATTTCTGATATACGATGAAGAATTCATTCACATCAAAAAAAACATGAAACATAAAAGGGTCCCTTAAATTCATTTTGTCTCTCAAACATTTTTCTTTGAAATCAGTCACCTAATTAGGTCAAACTTTTAGTACGAGCTCTTTACAAAAGTCAAAGGTATGTTAAAATTTGAGACAATACATAGTTATGAAGATTAATAATGAAAGTTAGGAAACGCAAAGGAATTCAAAGAAAGCAGTGATGATATCCAAAAAGGCCACTTGGTAGCTTGTGTAATTATACTTCTGCAAAGGCAAAAGGGATACAAGTATAGATTGGTTGAAAGGAAGCAACGTCATGACAGGGTGGGATTGATATCATCATATAACCCACCAAAGCGGCCCTATAATTCTCTCATGCCTTCTGGAGGATAGCTAGTGGAGGCGAACCCTAGCTATCATCAACCCTTTGAATCTGTCTTTCATATCAATTTTTAACCAAAAACACACACACCACAACACAACACAACCCTAAATCATTAACTTCGCTGTTACTTCATGTGCTCTCAACATTTCTTCAATCCATTTGTGTACCACCCTCCTCTATAAATATATTTATCTAGGGTTTCACATGAAAGATTCTAGTAAAATCTTGGATTCGATGAACTGTTCAATTCAAATTCAATTCACCTTCATCGTCCTATATCCATGAGAATATCGTTCTTAATTATTAGGGTAATCAATGATGTTAATTACGTATTATTACACGTAAGACGTGTCGTCTATGGTTGCATGCCTGTTCCAAACCCCCTTTACATGCTTTCATTCTAGATAGGTGTTTACCATTCCATATTGGGTCAGTATGAGGTGTATGACTGTTCACCAAAATCGTGTCTACACCTGCAAGGGCTAAAATGCCCAAAAATGAACTATAGAGGATATGACTAGTTGTCAACTTCTTCCTACCCGATAGTTATATGCAGTAAGCCGTTGTTATTGTTGCCTTTTTGCTTACATTCTCATATAACACCATTACCAATCTCTCAAATCTTGCTTTCAAAACTCTTTTTCGAAATCTCTCTACCACCGTTTTCTAAAACTTTCTTCTTGAACCGGGGCTAGAGACTCGAGCATACGTCGGTTGGCTGTAGGCGACACAAGAACGAATAGGCTTAACTCACTTGTTGTTGGGAAGTGAGTGCCGCCCAATCACAAAGTCCATTGTAACTTACTTTTGTTATACACAATCTTTCTTTGTGATAACATTGTGAGCCAATACGCTTGACTTAGTAAAAGAAATTAGTAACTTATGAAATAGCTTTAGGATAATTTTTATTAGTTCTTAATAGTATTACTAGTCATTTTTATCCTTAGTAGAAAGTTTAGGAAATTTACCCGTGATTTCTGTTTTATAAATACTCGTCAGAATCGAAAAGCATGATGCTTAATGTTATTTCGTTCAAAGAAACTCTCCCTTCAAATTGTTCTTTCTGCTTCAATTATTCGTGCACTTTGATCAAGGGTCATATCGAAGAAACGTCTCCATTTCCACCGAATTCATAATGTATACTTTTTGAGTTGAAAAGAAAAGTGCTGAAGTTTGAACATCTTCAAAAGGACATGATTGAAAAAGTGAGAGCAAGCTGATTATACATATAAGGTAAAACAGAATTTCCACAGATAACCATGCAACAACACCACCCGTGCTCTTCACTCTTTCAAACTCAAAGAGAAACAATGTTCTTCAAGTGTGGAGAGCACAAATGAAACATCTTCTTTGTTGTAATTAATCAAACACAAAAACAGGCAAATCTCAGTAACCCCTTTTGATTGGATACGACAATATGGTTAATTAAGACAAAAACTGAGTTCTTTTGTTTCTATATATACCTGAACAATAATGTTGTTGAATAGGGGTTTAATGATTTTGGGTTTGCTTTTTGTAAGCCATGCTCTGCTAACGTGACTGTTTGTTTACCAGAACTTGCCGGCCAACACCCTCCACGCCTTTCTTCTCCCAATTCTTTTTCTTTCTTTTGCCTTTCTTTTTCTCTCTGTGTCTTGTTTTTGCCGCAAGAGCTTGGGGAGAGAGGGAGATCGAGATTTGGAGCAAAGGGTGGTTACAAATCACGAACCTCCACAATGACGTGATATTATCCATTTTGAGTATAACCTGTGATCGTCCCCTTCATTAGTCAATATGGGACTCATTCCCAACAATTTTTAACCATCCTCCTTTCAAACAAAATACACTGTATAGAGTCTCTCCCCTGAGATCTATGAAGCCTTCGAATAACTTTCCCTTAATTGAGGTTCGATTTCTTTCTCTAGAGCTCTTGAACAAAATATATCATTTG